GGTTAGATGATTCTAGCAGCACTTTCTGGGCACGTATTCTGCTTTGCTGCCTCGGGGGAGCATCTGGGAACTGTGCGGATGCGTCGGGGAGGGAAGGAGAATCCCGTGCAAGCAGGTTGTGAGAGGTCCCTGCGGGGCTTGAGTATATCTTACCATACGGGTGCATGTGGTCTCCCGGCATCTGGGGTGGGGTGAGGCCCTGTCGGAAGGGGTCTGAGCTGTAGACACTCTGCTCGATGGCCAGGAGCTGCTGTGGGGTGGGCAGAGCCGTGTAGGGGTTCATGATCCCTTCCATGGGAGCATTCCCACCGCCATTTGTCTGAGCTGAAGGACAGAGAAGAAGGCATATCATTCCCCAAGTGCAGCCAGGGCCCCACGCTGGGAGAGAAGGCGAAGAGCATCTTCCGAACTTCATACCCCCCACTGCCCGGTGTCCCCGTCCAGCACCAGCCTTTGCTGCAGCTTTGCAAGGAGGAGTGAGAGGGGCTGGTGCCGGTGATACCGGGAGCCCCAGACCTGGGGTGGCACGCGCTGTGTCTGCCATCCCACTGTTGCCCCACCACACGGACTTCTCACAGGCCTGCTTGAGCAGCCCGGCAACATGGCGGCCGGCCTCCCCAGGGCCAGCAGTCCAGCAGAGCGCAAAGCAGAACCTGCCACATTTGTCATGACCTCACCTCAGAAGTCACTCCCTAGGTCAGCCCTCGTCAGCGTCCAAGGAGATGACACAAGGGTGTGAACACCAGGTGGTGACAATCATGGAGTGCCATCTTGGCTGTGGAACCGTGGTGAGATCATTTTACTTCCTGGCTCATTTATAAAATGGATGGGTTGGCCTGGTGGTGGATATTAAGGAGGGCACGGGCTGCAAGGAGCACTGGGTGTTATACGCAAACAATGAATCATAGAACACTACATCAAAAACTAATGAGGTAATGTATGGTGATTAACATAACATAATAAAATAAAATTTTTAAAAAATGGTCTGGAACAAGGTGACATCAGTGGTTCCCAGCCTGCGCCCATCTCAAGGGCCATCAAGGGTCAACCTCAGAGAAGAGGGATGGGGGAGGTGCAGTTGAACTTGGAGAGCTTTCTCGAAATACATCATTAAAACCAAGGCTACACATGAGTTTGGCAGCCACTGGAGGTGATGGATCTAAAGATCCTTCCAGCATCACCCCACTGAGAGCCCGTCAATCAAGTGGAGTTCACGACACCAGCCCCGCTGACCTCGTGGAGCTGATAAATGTGCTTTGGAACAACTTGCTACACTTGTGTAGAGAATTTTCGGAGACCGGAGGACTCCCTTCCTGCCTCCGCATCTTGCTGTGGTTCTCTGAACATCGGCCCATGACCTAGAGACTCTACTTTCCACGGCTTCTACTTTCTTAAGTCTGCCCTAGGAGTTGCTCTTTGAATTCTTCCAAGTCTCAAGCACTCTGAGTTTGTGTTGTCATAATGCCTTGATGCGTTCTTCCCCCACCCTGAGTGTGCTGGCCTATGGGAGTCGAAGTGCATGGCTCTTCCATGTCAGTGACCCTCTCTGAACTTCCCAGGGGCCCAGTGCAACAGGGCTGGTAAGTGACATTATCCCACCGCGGGGACAGATAGCCTGAGGCGCCAGGAGACAGAAAGGCTGGTCCCAGATCAAACAGCTCTGGGGGTGGAGCTGGGGCAGCATTCGGGTCTCCTGACCAACTGGCCCCAACAATCTTCCCCGGTCCCCATGTCCTTGTTTAACTTCTCTCTCTGAGCATCTATCTTGCCGTTAAGATACTGTTTGGCCTAGAAGATTAAGAAGCCAAGAGAACTCTGGGCTGCAAGAGTCAGATTCTAGATTGAGCTGAGCCCAGGTATCAAGCACAAGGCAAGGTGCATCATGCAAGGGCAAGGAGCCCTGTCTAGGGGCCTGAGAACAATTGTCACAGTCATGACCTTTCTCAAAGTGTGGTCCACAGGGTGGCCGCGGTGGGAGTCTGTTAAAAATGCAGAATCTCAGGGCCTAGCCAGACTAGAGGAATCAGAATCTGTACTTTGCCACATGTCCGGTGATTTATGCACACACTGAAGGCTGACAATTCCTGTTTGAGGTACAAGCAGACCCTTAGGGAATCCCGCTGGATGGCTGTTGGGGCCATATCCCTTTAAGAATGACACGGTCATAATATAGTTCTATTTGATTTTTTTTTCCTTTAACTCCCTTGAAGAGTCCCACAACCTGTCCCTCTTCACTCCCTTTCCAGTTCTCTCACCAGACCTATTAACCACAACAGCAAATGGAGGTGTGCACAGGAAGGGAGAGTTGGGGTGGCATGGCCTAGTGGAACCGAGGTTCAGAGACCTATGCTCCGGTCCTGACTCACCCCCTATTCAGCGAGGACACCGGTCAGCCTTGCAGAGCCCTTGTCTGCTCATCAGTGAGATGGGTACAAAGGACTTCTCTGCTCCCCTGGTGGGGTGGGGGGTGTTGTCAGACTCGGGTCAGTGTGAGAACACTCTTTGAACTATGAACGTGCCCGACGAGGGAGAGGGTTACTGTTTTACTCGCAGTATTTTTACTGTTTTATGTCATTTTAGAAAGGGGTAAGTCACAGTGGTGTCCTCTGTCAATTGATTTCCTGGGAAGGAGGAGGATCTGGGTGTGTCCTGGGCTCTGCGGGGAGTCCTGCCACAGTCCCGGGGGCTCTGGAGAAGGTTCGGACCACCTCAGTCAGCCTCCCAGGCCCCGGCTCGGTGCCCTCGACCCTCTCCCAGATCCCCCGGGGCGCGATCCTCGCTGGAAGAGCCTCTGCCCTTGGTGCAGACAGGGCTTCGCTGAGCCCAGAAGTGGCCTTCCAGCAAGAGCCGAGTGGTGGGCAAGGCCTGGACCCTCGCAGGCCTGGCTGGAGGGGCCCCGCTTACCGGAGCTCAGCCTCTGGGTGTTCTGCTGGTCCTGTTGTTGCTGCTGCCTCCGGGCTAGCTTCTTCATCTGACAAGGAGAGGGGTGCAGGGTTAGGGGGTTGGAGGCGGGGGGCCGGCAGCAGACACACAGGCCCCGTGTGGAAAGTGGAGGGACCACTCCCGCGGCCTGACTCAGGACAGGAGCCAGCCACAAGGCTGTCCACGGCTGCTGTGGGCTCTTCACCCACTGCCGGGCGCAGTCAGCTGGCTGGGAAGCACCAGGCCGCTCATCCTCTCAGCAGATAAACATAGCTGCTTGTGTTGTGACAGTTTCCGGTGAGCTGTAAGTGTGGCATTTGGGGACCGCAGGCGGGCCTAGCTGCGCAGCAAGGGGCTGCTGACAGGGTGTCGCCTGGGACGTGGCACTCCCCGCCCACTCCCCCCGTCTGCTGGCCCTGGTGTTGGAGACTCCAGGTAAGGAGCTGATCTCCTAGAGCACCCTGTTACCACCAAAACTTCCCGGAAGGAGCATCTTAACCCAATGCTTCTCACACTGTGCTCTGTGGAACATTCCGGTCCCGTGAGACGCTAACAAAAACAAGCAAACATTCCTCAGAGCTTCCAACTCCTCTGCTTTATGAATCTATTAGGTTACGGGGCCTCCCAAACCTAGGGAGACATGGAGTCCTCTCGGGATGGAGTACGTATCAATGGCCCTGTGCTGAGGAATTCAGTTAGGGCAGCACCGTGCTGTCTTAACCAATCGTGATCAGATAATGAGATATGAATTTACCACCCACTACAGATTAGGACATATGGGCCACGGGCCACATGCCTTTTTAGGGGCAGGAAACTAGATGAGCACAAGGTCTAAAATAAATGAAAGACTATGGCGGGGCAATGCAGACCTTGGTGGGATCTGGAGGACAACACGACAGTTGGGGTGTATACGGGGGGCACTGAGTAAAGGCATTCATGCCACCACGCTAGGATATGGCCTCAGTCCTGTCACATGTGTGCTATGGAAGTTTCTCTCTGCAATTTTAAAAGAGCTTTGGTAGGTGGGTTAGATAAAGGTGAATGAAAGAATCCGCTTTTACCAGAAGACAGAAAGACGTTTATTCCAGCAGACGGCTGGCCAGATTCACAGTCATGGCCACTAGGAAAATCAGTCATTTCACTAAAACGAATGCCCCGTCTCTCCCCTTCTGCGGGGCTGCTGTGGCTGACAGGACCATCGATAACAGAATTTTTGAATCAGGAGAACTACTCTATCCAGTGAGTTCTGGTTCGATAACCCACCCGCAAGTATTTATTATTCCAGGAAACCAGCCACACAGAGACAAACGACAGTAGGAAGCAGATTACCTTAGCTCTCTGGTTCTGGAACCACACTTGGACGACACGGACACTCAGCCCTGTCTCTGCAGCCAGGGTCTCCCTCACCTAGACAAAAGGAACATTAGAAATAGAGAAACACTGGCATCTCAGGGGAGGGGGCATCCCTACACGGCGCACTGGGAGGCCCATAGGCCGCGTCTTAAATGGGAGCGGGCTGGTGTTTAATGGCCAGTGTGATCCCAAACACAAGACCATTGCTTCCCTTGAGGTGGAGAGAGGTCCTTCACCAGGTAAACAAAGGAAGGGATAATTAATTTAGATGTGCATTTCAAGAGGGGTTTCTCTGACTCTGGAAATTAGGCCTTCAGGTGGTTTTGGAACATTAGCAAAATCTATCATTGTCCTTTAAGAGTCACATCCATGCCTATGTACTGACCTACTTAAGGAGAACCGAGAGCGAAAATCACTTTGCAAAACAAACGGCTCTCTCTTGTTCTGATCTGTCTCAATTCACTGACTTACATTTTTGGTTCTGTCCCTCATAGCTCTAGGTGACTTTGGGTGTTTCATGAATATTCACATTTACTGTTACCCTGAGTGAGCCCCACTCAAGGAGAATAAGACCAGAGCCATCTGGAATCTGCCAGAGCGAAAGCAGTCAGCTCTGATCAGCACGTGCGCCGTGGCCCCACAGAGACAGGACTGTCGAGATGCCCACGAGGAAGAGATGGGTTGAAACATCTGCCCTCCACGCAGATATACGCTGAGGGCAAGAAGGGAAAAGGCGAGAAGCTCAGCCTTTCTGAGAGCGAGGCTGAAAGACACCGCCCTCTTGCTTAGATTCTGGGGTGACATGGGGTTGAACGCCTAACACAGGAGCAGAGAGCTCACAGGACGCCTTGGGAAGTGGCCCACCTCTATCACCCCACTGGGGCTGAGGCCTAGGAGAAGTGAGATGATTAAACCAGATCTTTAAAACACATCCTTCTGCTAAGCCAACTAAAATAGCAGTGTGCCCCGGCCCCACTTCCACCTGCTGAAACCCTATCCATTTTTCAGGGGCCCGGCTCAAAAGCCACCTGTTCCACAAAGCCTTCCTGATTGCCCAGACAGAACTGACCTTCCCCTTCCTCGGGCTCCCACGGCTCCCAGCTGCCCCTCTGTAATGGTCCTCGCAGCTTTCTCCCCCATGTTAGTTATGTGCAGACGCATCTCTCCCCCGCTGGCTGGGGGCCTGCAGGCTGCCTGGCCACAGCACCAGGCATGGGGCCATGCAGAGGCTGGGAGTCTAATACGTGTAGGATTAGTAGTAATAGAAGGAGGTGATCATTTGTCCTTGCATAAGCCTACTTTGGGGCTACTTTACTTCCTACCAGCACCTTCCCTGGAGCCTAGGAAGCACGAGGGCAGAGAGAGAAAGAGGTCTGCAGGAGGCCAGAGGTGGTGGCAAACTGTATTATTGGTCAGTTCCGCAAATATGCCCCCTCCCTGCCCTGCTCCCACAGGCGGGCCTTCCCCCCTGCCTCACACTGGGTTAGCCACATGACTTGCTTTGGCTCATGGGATGTGTGTGGACACGGCACGTGTGATCCAAGGAGAGCCTTTCAGTGGTTTTGCCCGGTGTGACTTGGCCTCCTGCCTTCTGCCATCCTCATGGAAACAGCGTGCTCCTTCGGCCCGGAGCCCCGGAGACACAGGTGGAGCAGGCCTGAACCTGAGCCCAGCTGGGCCACAGCCAAACCACAGTCCAGGAGCAAGAACACAATGTCTGCTGGAAACCACTAAGCTTTTGTTTGTTTTGACAGCAAAAGCCGACTCATACAGATAGAGAAAAACAATGCTAAGGTTTTTAAAAATGTATTTCCTCCACGAGTTCCAATTTAAGAAGTTCTTATTTGTATCGTATCAGGAACAAGAGTGAGCATATGGCCGTCAATAAATGGCGGGTCCTTAATAAACGGGCACAGCTGTTTGTGGCAGAGACTGCTGATTGTCCCCGATACCCATTCTCTCCTTCCTCCTATTAACAGTTGAATTCCCAAGCTTTAGCAGGGCATGTGGTCACCCAGGCAGACTCATTTCCCAGCTCCCTCAGAGGAGGTGTAGTCAAGGATCTTGGGGCATGCCTTGCCCTCTACTTCCTCTTTCTCCAGCATGGTGGCTAGAAAAGATGGTGGTACCTATGGCCCCTTAGAACCACGTGACGGATAACAGAGCTCCCTGCTAATCTTGGGTTGCTCATCTCTGGGCTGCGACATAAGATGGAAACAAACTCGTACCTCATTAAACCACAAAAGTTCACAGCAGACCCATCTGTCACAGCCCCAAACTGGAAACAACCCAAACACCCATCAACAGGTAAATGGACAAAGAAGCTGTGGTGCATCCATACAGTGGAATACCATTCGGCAACAAAAATGAATGAACTAAGACATCAGTGAATCCCAAAGGCACCATCCAAGTGGAACAAACTAGAGCAAAAATAGATAAATAGATTTCTATTAGCCACTATATTTTCACTCCTTGTTATAGCATCTGGGTCTATATCCTCCAACTGGTACCTACTGTTGTTCTTCTTCCTGTTGCTCTCCATGAATTGAGCCAGCAGCCACTTGAAATGGGTATAGATGCACAAAAGTTTAGGGAGGTCCTATTATCTCCCTGGCCACACCGTTAGGGATCTGGGGTCTCCAGTAGGGCTCAAGGCTATAGACTCTATCTGAACAGCCTCCCTCACCACCCTGACCCCCCCACGTGTGCCCATGGACACTCCAGGGGAGGGCAGTATACACAAACAGTGGGGCCCGGTCCCCTTTCCCCTCTTCTTCCCCCCCGCCCCGTACCTTCCTGCACGGCTTGGAGGATACTTCAAATGAGGCCTTGAATGCTCTCCTCTGTTGGGTTGTCAAGATGGTTCTGGGACGTTTGGGACGCTTATGGTCTTTGCCATCTTCAGCGGCTCCTTTCCCTGCCCCATTGGCTGACTTGCAAAGACTTTCTTCATCATCACTTTTGCCTAAAAGAAGCAGAAAATACTGTGTTAAGGTCTTCAAAGCCACTTCCTGGAGCTGTGTGTTATTCTATAACAAGGCACTCAGGTCCGCGTTCCCAGGATGGCTTTATAGGTAAGTGTAGTAACCTCTGTGGGATTGACTTGAAAGCCTCCAGGAAAGGACCAAGGAAAATACCTCTAAAATTCAGAGACAGCAATCAGAAAGTCTGCCTTTATGGCTCCGAACTTTCTCCCAGGATAGTGTCCTAGCTCCAAAGTTACTAACTGTGTGACCTTGAGCAAGGTACTTAACTCTCTCTGACTCAGTTTCTTTACCTGCAAAACTGGAACAGAAGAGAACCTACTTCATTGGAACAGTTGTAAGGATTAAATGAGTTTACCGATGAGGCACTCAAAACCCTGCTTGGCATATAATAAATGCCCAATAAGTACTGGTTATTAATGTTATTTCTTAGACGTCATTTTTTCAAGTCTAGGCCTGGAGACGTTTTGTATAATTTCCTAGACACTGTGTCTGAAATTCTAGCCACTGCCAGGGGGTAGAAAATATTACTGTTTAAAAGGCCATAGAGGACCAGCATTAGATTACTTGCAGGGACTGATAACTGAGAATAGATATAGTGTAAGTAGTTAGCCAAAATTGCTTGTGTATAAAATAACTACTAAAGTAAACTGTATTTATATTTGTGTGGGTTACTTCATAAGCAGTGAGCAGTAGGAGGAGTAACCTTTGAAGGAAGCAAAGCCTTCAGTTACATCACATTCTCTCCCAGACCTCCTCGTGCATCCCATGGACCTCATGCTCCTGAGAAGATGCTTCTAGGGTCTGCGGAATACGATGTGAGGGACACATTTTCCTACTTTCAGCATTAAAAGCCATTGGCAGTTATGTGCCCAAACAACCCCCACAAGAACCTCGTTTCTCGCTGGGTCTTCACAGAGCTCAGCTGTCCTCTTTCCTCCAGTGGGAAGCCCCATCCCAAGGGCGTCCCCAGCTCTGGTGTCCTGATCCTGGCTCTCCTTCTGGCCACCTCAAGAAATCAGGTGGAGGGGACCCTCCATGTGTGAGCCACACAACCCCTGTTCTTCATCCCACCCTCCTCTGTAAAGGATGCTCATCTGCATATGCCATTTTCATTTAGACTTCTGTTGACTATTCCATCCGAAGGGACAATGGCTTCTTTTCTCTATGAACCTTTAGACATAGAGTTGGAACAAGAAGGGACACTAACCTGTGAGTTTCTTGAGGGCATGACCCTTTCAATGTCATTGAGCAGGTCTGACGTAGGCACATGTAGGTCTCCATCCAGCTCGGCCCCCCCATTGTAAGCGTGGCGCTATGGGAGTGCGGTCACGCACTGGGCCTCAGTTTCCCCACCTGCACCACCGCAGCAATAACACACACCTGCAGGTGGCTCAGGGGTAGTGCTATTGTGGGCAAAGCAACTAACACGGTCCTGGTGCACAGGAGGCTCGAAATAGATGTGGAAAGAATGTCTTTTCCCTTCTGCTTCAACCCCCTCAAGAGGACAGGGGGAAAACTCAGAAAGATTAAAGAAGAGATAAAAGAGGAAGAATCCTCATGACAAGGAGCGGCTACTCTGGCACCTTCATCTCTGAGGCAGCTCTTCCCTGGGGCAAATCCAGTAAGCCGACCTCAACCATCCCTCCATAGGAAGGGGTTTTAGGATCTTTCTAGAAGGATATTTTCAAAATGGCAAGAAAAAATGAGCCCGTAAGAACTAAAAGCCACAGGGAAATAAGAAGACCCCACAAGAAGAGAGACAGTGGGAAAAAAGCCACTGACTTCCCACATTCACCCTTGCAAGGCCCTATACCCCACTGCTCAGAGACCTCCTCTCCCCAAAGCCCGGTCCTTCCCTGAGGCCAAGAATTCTGTCTGCTGCTGGACTCCCAGGGTCAAAAGGATGCTCTTCTGGTACCAGTGAGGCCTTCAGTGAGTTTTCTTTGGAAATGGGCTGACACCCCCCCCCTCCCCGCAGGAACATACAGACCTCCTGTAAGGCCAGCGATGAACGGGGGCTGAATCTGGAACAAACGACTATGAAATCCAACGTGCAGCCTACATCTGAAAATGCACTTGTAGGCTTCACTGTCTTGCACGCCTGAAACTCCTGTAACACCGTATGTTAACTTTACTGGAATTTAAATTAAAAGCTTAATTTAAAAAAGGGCGTTGGAACATATAAAATATTTTATCAGATAAAAACAATAAAAGAAAATGCAACTGTATAATTTAGGAACCTCAGGTGTTATAACCAGTTTTGTCCATAAAACGATATTTGCAAATGTCTTCTGGAGTCAATCTGACTCTCTGACAGTCATTCCTCATGTGGTCTGATGCGAATGCTTATTGATAACTAGGAAAACAAAACTCATGAAAATGTAAGGTCTGAAATCATGCTAGATTCCTTGATAATGGCTCATATACGCTGCCATCATTTGGGAAATTAATGTGGGCTCTGGAGTCATCCAAACTCAGGTTTAAATTCTGGCTCTGCCCGTTATGATGTGTGATTTTGAACAAATTCTCAAGACTCAGTTGTCTCATCGGGGAGGGTGACAGGGTTGTTGGCATTAAATGAGATGATACACGTAAAGGGTTTAGCGCTGTCTAGAATGTAACAGGTGCCTACTAAATCATCATCATCGTCGTCACCATTATTACTTCAACATAAAAGAATTCTTGATCCGAGACACATGTTTTCTGTTAATAATAGTCGCCTGTCGACGGAAGTCGGAGTTGAGGTTTTACAAACCCAGCGTTCATTTCTCTCTTTGCGGACATGACCCCAGCCAACACTGAGAGTTGGTTGTGTAGCTGGGAGCCTGTGAGTGCTTGCGAGAAGGAAGGTGAAGGGAGGGAGACGGGGCTGGGCCGGTTCCAGACAGAAGATGTAATTGCTGAAATTTGTTGGGAGTCCCTGAGGCAGGCTATCTGAGGCCCCCCTTGTCTGGGATACCCATACTTTCCCCAAGAGCTGCTACTCCATCATGGAACAATGGGGAGGAGGAAAGAGAACTATCTCGTAGGCTGGTCCCCAGTGCCCACTTTTGGAGGATGTGGAGAGCACTATGCGTGGCTCATTCATCCTCTCCCTGTCCCTGGAGGAGGAGAGATGAAAACATTTGTTTTCAGAAGAGGAAGGAGAAGGGGGCCAGGGGTGGGGGAGGAGGGGCAGGAGGGAGAGGACAGAAAGAACAAGATTACAATTGGTCTCAAGTATTTCTATTGCTTTTGGGGTACATTTTCTCCCTTCGATTCCTATTTTCTGCTACTAATCTCTCTCTCTCTCTCTCTTCTGTCTCCTCAGGTCCCACCTTTTGCCTTCCAAGAAGCTCCTCATGCTCTAGACCAGGGGCCTACAAACTTCTTTTTTTTTTTTGTAAAAGGCCAGACAGTAACTATTTTACTCTTTGCAGGCCTCACAGTCCAGTACAACAACTCGACTCTGCCATTAGCGCGCAGAAGCTACAGACAATGAGTAGGCGTGTCTTCCAAAAACGGGCCCCAGGCCAGCCAGCATACCATAGCGAGCTGATCACTTTCTAGACCTCTCCTGACCTCCTGTTTTCCATCAAAACTTACATATCCTCCATCCTAGTCTTTCAGGTTCTGACTCTGGGGACAGGGAGCTCTGCTGATGGACACCGAGGAGTCAGTGATGAGCACAGTTGGATGGGTTCTCTCCCACGGTCAAAAACATCTATGCATTGAACAGAAAATGCCTCCAACTGAACAGTCACTGCTGTGGAATTCCAGGTGTCCTGGCAGAGCTGAGCGAGAGATTCTGAAGATGGAGCAGGGAGGGGCCTTCTGGCACTTCTCAAGGTGCCGACAGATGCCCAGGAGAAGGCAGACCATCACTAAACATCGCCCTACTCCTTATCTGCTGGGTTGTAAATATTCTGGGCAGAACAGTGCCCTCTCACTCTCTTGGGGAACTTCCAGGCTGCTCCTGGGATGTTCACCAAGGCTCCCGCCTTCTCTTGCCACAGGGACAGGCCTGTCAGACTCGGACCCCAACTTCTCCATAAAAAACACGCAATGCCTAAGATACACACTTATCGATGGGCCCGAGAGAAAGAAAGGTTCGAAAAGAGCTAGGAAATTTCTCCCAGAACCAGCAGGAAGCCTGGAGAGCAGAAGATGAAGAGCGACTTTGAAATCGCAGAGACGTGGGAGTGCAAGAGGGAGCCGGCCCCGCTCTGTTGCCAGTGCTCCCACACCCAGACGCAGGTCAGAGCGATCCCTCATAATTTAAGCTGACACCCCTCAGTGGAGATGAAAGGAACACCACTCGCTGTCTCCGACAACAAATGTCAGCATCCCTGGAGGCCATTTAGACACAAACACAGCATAAATCTGACTCCTAGTGGGGAAGGCCAGAGATTAAGTCTCCACGCACAGCCTACCATAGTGAAATGAATTTGCTTGGCATAAAGTTTGAACATGTTTCTCAGGGTCTTTCTTTCCCCTTTCTCATAAAAAAAAAAAAAAAATCTGGAATGGCTCAGGGCTGTTGCTTCCCCCTTGCCTGGCCCTCCCACTCGTTTATGACATAAGCAATCACAGATGAAAGACCCAGCCGTGGTTTATGGCCCTGAGATGGGCTGCAACTACCTGTGGGGCCGTGTAGATTCATTTCAGGTTGTTGGAAAAATCCCAACGGCCCATAAACAGGGAAAGAGACATCTGAGCTTGGCCCAGGAGGTGAGGGTGGTGGTGGGGGGGGTGGGGGAAGAGACCCGCATGCTCGGGAAGGGAGAGGCAGGAACAGGCCTCAGATGCTGCCCACATGATGAGCCTCATAAATGTCCTTCAGGCCCGGGGAGGAGAGGAAGGGTCTGGGACTTGCTGTGGCGGGGGGGCGGGGAGGGAAAGGAGGAAGGGCGGGATGTATGAAGACAGGAAGCTATTTCAGTTGCTGCCCTGCACTGCGGGATCGGAATTCCTTTCTCCTGGAGCTGAACGGTGGTCA